TAACATTTGCCAAAGAGGAACTTGCTAAATTTTTTAGGGGTGAACTTCTTTTAATGATTTCACCTAATGAATTTGTTATTGTTGAAAAATTGAATGGCGTATTAGAAATTTTTAATAACGCAACTCTTACTTTTTTGCATGTTTACCAACCAATTACAAATCGATTTTTTAAAGAGTGCGTTACAATAGAAACATGTTTTCGTGAAAGTTTAGCTGACCCAGATTTGTACCCTTATGTCTCTTTAATGAAAGATAAATGGTGTGCTTATTATTTGTACATTTTTGATATTTATAAAATAGGTATTATTTGTGATCCACGCTTTAAGATTGAAAATTATAAAATTCTAATTGACTATTACTACAGTTATTTTTTAGATGAAAATAATTATTACAACACCTATTTAATTGAATGTGATAAAGAAAGAGATAATGCTATTACTCTTTTTTAGACTTTATTTAAGGAATTTCAAGGGATATACGGTAATGTACCAGATGAAACAGCACCTCCTCCGCCCCCTAAATCAAATAAAGGTTTTAAAGGAATAGTCGATGGCCTTCTTGCAAAGAAAGGGAAGCATGCTCACCCTTCGACGAGTTCAGGTGGTACAACTGTAAGCTCGCACAACGAACTTGCAATTTACCATGGGGTGCCATGCAATTACGACGATGACGACGATGTGGAGTTTGACGTCGTCGGATGGTGGAAGCGGAATGAACACATGTTCCCATGTCTCAGAATGCTAGCAAGACAAGTTTTATCCGTCCCGGTATCAACCATAGCAGTGGAACAAGAATTTAGTGCTGGCGGCAACATTCTAACTGACTTCCGAAGTTGTCTAAGCAATAAATCTCTTGAAACACTTGTTTGCAACCGAGACTGGCTCTTGGCAAGACGTTGAGCTCAAGAGTCAGGATACGATTTGAGTTGCGATCATTACATGAATGCAACTACAGATGGAAGCCCGAGTTCTGAGGAATAACTGATTAAGTCATAAACTTTTTTTTGTTAATGTAGATATGTAATGGAGTAGTTTTTTTAGGTGAGCGATATATAAGCTCCTTCGAGGGTTTCTTTACGGTTCTTTACCTCGTCGCTTTTTTTAAACTGTTAGAATATTAAATGTAGTTATTCTTTAGTTCGTGTATTACTCATTTTAAAATATTTAAATAACAACTACATTTTTAGATTTTTTATTTCATTCTTTCCTTTAACAAATGCACATTTACAATTTTACACTTTAAAAATTTAATAAAAAAGCAAAAAAATTGGGGGTGGCCGAAACCGGCCGGTCTAGTACCGGAACAGCCAGTCTGGTCATGATACTGGTACAAAGGGGTGGTGGTTTTGGAACCGGCGGTTCTGGAACCGGAACCGTCCCGGAACCGTACCATGTCCACCCCTAATTCAGATCAGATAAGATCCATTCAGATCATAAAACTAATTAAAAAATAAACAATATTAAAATAATACTAATAATGAAAATAATAATAAAAATTATTATTATCATAATTAATTAATTAATAATAATAATGTTAATAATTATTATTAGTAAATAATAATAATAATGATTTAATCCAAAACAATAATAATGAAAATAATTATTTTTAACGAATAATAATTAATAATAATGATAATAACAAGTCATATTAGTATTTATTTGTAAATATAATAATAATTTATAATTTTCATCATTAATCATAACACTTAATATTCATAATAATTATTATTAATTTTAATAATAATAAATATAATAAATAAAATAATATAGTGTAATAATTAATAGTTAGAATAATTACTAATAATAAAATTATAATTTTAATTATATTAGTAGAAACTTAAAAATAATTAATATTATTAAATAATTAATAAATTATTTATCATTATTATTATTATAAAAATATTATAACTAATGATGATAATCATCATCATTAATCACCACACTTAATAATAAAAATAAATAGAATTATTTAAAAAATTATAGTAATAATTATTAATAATTACCATTATAATTAATAATAATAATAATAATTTTAATATTAATAATAATAATAATTAAAAATAATTATTAATACATTACTATTATCATCATACATTTTGATTAATAATGATAATCATCATAAATAATCATAACACTAATAATTAGTAACAATAATAATTAATTATAATAATATTAGTATATATAATTATTAAACTAATAATAATAATAATATTGGAAATGATAATTATTAATAATCAAAATTTTTGTTGTATTATATTAATAATAATTATTAATAATTATTAGTAATAATAAATAATGGTAAACTAATTCCATTCAGATTAGATCAGATCCGATTCATTCAGATCAGATCCATTCAGATTAGATAAGATCAGATCCATTAAGATCAGACCAGATCATATCAGGTTCATTCATATTAGATCAAATCAGATCAACCTTAAAAAGTTTAGTTAAGATCGGAACAGATTGAATTGAGTTTTACTATTTGAATATTTGATGAAAAAGGTGTTTTAGTACAATGGTCATAATTTCTTCAATATCTATCGAAATTGAGTGACTCAAAAAGAGGTGAACGCGTATTGAAAAGCACAACAACCTTTGTATTGTGAACTTTTGAAATAAAGAAAATATAAGTTTTGAAATTAACTACTTTAGACCTTACTTTTATGGGTTGTAACCACTAATTTTTTTACTAAAAATTAAATATAGCTAACCAAAAAATTGTGTGTGCATGCAAAATTAAGCTTGAGCTTTAGAGATATATCATTCAGTTATGTTTAATAATAAATAACTCTAAGCTAAACTATGATAGTTCCACGTGAGCGAATGCAACATAATTATAGATTTTTAGTGGATTGTAATGTTCCTTCATAATGAAACTAACATATTTACTCAATTAAAATATCATAAAAATCAAAATATGAGATTAAGCAAGTCAAGTCTAACAATGTGTTGTGGTGACATTGGAAGCCATGTGGTGAGAGGAACCCGGGGAAGGGAGGGGATACAGTGGCTAGAGAGTGATCACTGATCAGATATAATGCAGAAAAAAATTAAGTTTTTAATGATCATAAAGAGAAATAGAATTATTTACTCTCTTCGTCCCACAAAACTTTTTTGAATTTGACTTTTAAAGAATTTAAAATGAGTATACTTTGATGTTGACTTTCCAAAAATATCCTTGGATGTAATCAATAGATTAATAGTGAAAAAGGTGATTTGATAGGTTGATTAAGAATCAATAGGGTAAAAGTAACTTTTTAATAGAAATGAGAAAGGTTTATTAGAACAGATAAAAAGGAAAGAAGAAAGATTGTGTGGGACAGAGGGAGTAATAATTATTAAAAACAAATTACAACAAACTCCTCACATTCTATATTAAGTGACCATTATCACTTTTTGGATATATTGAAAAATGAATGAATATAGACATACTGTAGGTCTACATTCATTCATTTGTCAATATATCAAGAAAAAATTATAATAGACAGATAATATGGAATCAAAGGAGTATACTAGTAAATTACAAAGAAAAGCAAGCTATGTAGACGATCCACAGACCATAGCTAATAACATGTGAGTCACAATATTTGACTAACAATCAAGCTAGTAATTATAGTGATAAAAAAGTAACTGGAAATAATATCTACAAACCATCTTTTAAATTTATCTAGAGGCCGCCGGTTCAAATGACATTGAGAACCAATGTCATGGGATGACCCGGAGTGCTCCGGTGCCCCGTTCGTAAAATTGACGGTTCCTACCCCTGGTAAACCCCCCCACCACGCCCCGACCCGAACGCGGCCCCCCACCCCCTTCAATTGCACTCCCAAGTTGATTTTGACTTTGGAATCAAATTTTGACTCCAAAGTCAAAATCAACTTGGGGGTGCAAATGAAGGGGGTGGGGGGCCGCGCTCGGGTCGGGGCGTGGTGGGGGGGGGGGGTTTACCGGGGGGTTAGGGGGTAGGAACCATCAATTTTATGAATGGTGTACCGGAGCACCCCCGGGTCATCCCATGACATTGGTTCTCAATGTCATTTGAACCAAGGTGATTTTTCTATACAAACTACTCCTTTTGTCTCATAAACCCTTTCCCTTTTGTTTTTTTCCAAATCTCTAAAACATACTCCGTATCAATTTTTTGTTAAAAATTACTTTTACCCCTACTTTTTCATACCCTACCTATCACATCATGTTTTTTCACTAATAACCAAACTATCACATTTTACTTTTACCCATCACATCAGGAAAAAATTTGGAAAGTCAACTAAAATTACACATTTCTTATTTTAGCCCAAAGTCAAAATGGGAAGAGTTTAAAGAAACGGAGGAAGTATTAACCACACAAATTCTACTTGATTAAAAGTGGTATTAATCAAGTATAAAGAAGAAAATTATGATGGGTCAAGAGTAAATGATACTCATTCCGTCTCAAAAATTCTTTCCTTCTTCCTTTTTTTGTCCCACAAAATTCTGTCCTTTTGTCTTAAAAAATCACTTTTATCTATGTTAATTTTTAACCTACTTTTACATCATACATTTTTACTAATAATCTACCTAAGACATCTTATTTTTACCTATCACATCAAAGATATTTTTAGAAAGTCAACGCAAGATTATCCTTTTTAAGTTTCTTTAGGATCAAAACGAAAATATCTTTTTAGGTAAAGAGTTTTAAGAATGCATAGAGTTGATTGTGGTGATAAAAAAACTGGAAGTAAAAGACTTGACATTAGAAAGAAAAAACCGAAAAGAAGATGCCATATGGGTCAAAAACAGAGTAGAGTCTTAAACGAGGGTACCCTAAGCAGGCAGCCACCCCACCCCCGGCCCCCACCGTCCACCACCTCCGACTTCCTTCCTTTTCCTTTTCAAGAAGCTAGCTAGCTTTTTAAAGGCAAGCCAAAGTAAGGGTCATCTTCTCTTGAAAGAAAAAGAAAATAATAATAATAATAATACTAGTTTTTTTATAAAAACAATTTAAAAAAAAAAAGCTGAAAGTAACCAAAAAGCTAGCTTAAAGAAAGATCGAAAGAAATCCACATGGTACGTGCGACCACAGTCACATATATACCCCCAACCTTTTCATAATTTTTCTTTCTTTCTTGTTCTTCTCCAATTTCCAATTCCTCGCTAGCTGTTCTTTTAAGGTGTATATATATATATATATATATATACATACCCCTGTAGTATTATTTAGTTAAGGATCTATCGGCCGGAGCCATGTTAAGCAGCATCAGCAATAATAACAATAACGCCGCCGCCGCCGCCGCACCGTCTTCTCCGATATCCGAACAGTTTCCCGCCTTGGATAACGGCAGCAAGCGGAAGCGCCGCCCCGCCGGAACTCCCGGTATGTTATTATTCCATGATCCACGCACCATATTTGTTTTCAATTTAATTAATCCCGAGTATTTTTTTATTTCAAGAAAAGAAAATGATTTGGAGAAATGGGAGGGTATTAATTAAAATTATTATTGAGTACATCTGAAAAATTTAAAAAAGAAAAGAAAAAAGAATTCTTGACATAGCTGGCTAGGGGCTAGTAGTGGTAGTACTACATTAATAATGGGCATATGAAGAGGACGGGGGGATGTTTGTTTCTTTTGTTTTGTTTCGATTTGAAATGATGTGTGTGTATTGGGGGGCGGGGCGGCGGCGCGTGACAGATCCGGACGCGGAGGTGGTGTCGCTGTCGCCGAAGACGCTGCTGGAGTCGGACAGGTACGTGTGCGAGATCTGCAACCAAGGGTTCCAGAGGGACCAGAACCTGCAGATGCACAGGCGGCGGCACAAGGTGCCGTGGAAGCTGCTGAAGAGGGAGACGCCGGCGGCGAAGAAGAGGGTGTTCGTGTGCCCGGAGCCGACCTGCCTCCACCACGACCCGTGCCACGCGCTCGGGGACCTCGTCGGGATCAAGAAGCACTTCCGGCGGAAGCACAGCAACCACAAGCAGTGGGTCTGCGACAAGTGCTCCAAGGCCTACGCCGTCCAGTCCGACTTTAAGGCCCATCTCAAAACCTGCGGCACCCGCGGCCACTCCTGCGACTGCGGCCGCGTCTTCTCCCGGTAACCACCCACTTCACTCTTCACATACTACTCCACCTCTCCTAAAATTAACTTCATTTTCCAAGTTAAACCTTTTAAAATTTTAATGGCATATTACACAGAAAATACATTAAATTTTCGCACAAATTTAATACTCCCTCTATTTCACAAAAACCCTTCCGGTTTTGACTTTGGGGAAAAAAGGAAAGTATCATTTTATTTGACTTTCCAATTTTGCTCTTGATGTGATGGGAAAAAGTAAGATGTGATAGCTTGGTTATTAGTAAAAAATTATGATGTGATAGGTAGGGTATGAAAAAGTAGGAGTAAAAGTGGTTTTTTAATAGAAAGTGGAAGTGTTTTGTGAAAAAGCAAAAAAAAAACGAAAGATGAAGAATTTTGTGGAACGGAGGGAGTATCAATAGTTTTATTTCGAAACATAGTTTTTAAATATTTTATCTTTATAAAATATTTACATATAAATAGAGATATTAATAATCAAATGTTGCATTGGAAATCGTGAAAAGTATAATGAGAAGTTAATTTTAAGACTGAAAGAGTTCAATATTTCCTCCATCCCGATATAATATTCCCGTTTGGGTTTGACTGATGTTATTTTATTTTAGAGTATTATGTGTAAAATTTAAACATAAATATTATTCTAAGATATTTAAGAACTACATCGAAAATGCTATAAAAATAACAAGTGGTGACATAATTATATTAGTTTATCGTCAAAACGAAAGCACGTTAAGAAAGTGATTGAGTTTTGAGAATATGAATAATAATTGGGAAGAAAATTTTAAAATGAAGAAAATGCTAATTAAATACTTCATTAAGGAATTTGAACCTTAATTAGCTATCAATTTACTAGTGTATTTAGTGGAAAATAAGATTTGTATTTTTGCTACATAAGATTCTATTTTTGCAGCATATAAGATGATGATGATGATGAGACGATGGAGATGAAATCTGACTACAAAAAACAAACTTTTTTCTCCTTGGAAAATGGGTTTGACACGCATAAAGTCCACACCTTTTGCTTTTCTCCTTTTTCCCAAGCTTTTTTTACCTGGCCTGCTTTTGGGATTCTCACATTAACCTCTCCTTTTTCATTTAATTATTTTTACTACTTTTGACATTTGTATAGACTTGACAAAAAGTGATCCGAACCCGAAATAACTCGCTAAAAATGGGTCAAATCCAACCGAACTTGAACCCGACCTGACCGACCCGCTAAAGTAAGAATGTTTCAAAATTATACACTTTACTACTCGTTTTTAGTGTATAAAATTATATTTTCAGACACAATTTTAATGATATTGCATAATTATCTTACTTTTTTCCAAAACTTAAGCATATTTAAATTCCTTGTATTGATTTATATATCTAAAAATTACTTCAGAGTTTAAAATAAAATAATTTTGTAGATTTTTTTAATATTTTAAATTTATTTAATAGAAAATGTAAGTGTTAATGTGAATTTAAGAATTAAAAAAACCAAAGTCATAACCCGTTGGGTCAACCCGAACCCGATGACAATGGGTCATGAACATACACTTCTCAACCCAAACCCGAATTGACACGAACCCAAAATAATCCGAACTTGAAGTGACCGAACCCGACCTGACCGACCGATTTGCCAGCTCTACATTTGTACTCTCTTCCGTTCCAATCGTTAACGCTATGTTTGGTTCAAGAAAATTTGGAAGAAAAAAAGAAATTAATTTTCTTTCAATTTTTCACCAAAATGAAAAGATTTTGGTTTTCCCTCCTCTTAGTTTATTTTGCATTCTCATTTTCATTTCCTTCCACTTTCTTCTCTAACCAAACAAGAAAACCTATTTCATTTTCCTTTTTTTCCATTCAAATTTTTTGAACGAGACACAGTGATTGTATTTCATGTAAGTTAACAGAAAGTGTATTATTATTATTATTATTATTATTATTATTATTATTATTATTATTATTATTATTATTATTGTTATTATCATTATTATTAGTTTCATCATTTTCATCATTATATTTGTTGCATGGCAAAATTAGTAATGTCCTCTCCAATTTTGTTATTCATAAGATAACAAAAAGTTTCTTGATTGCAACAATGTTAAAATACTCTTTATGATGTTTTTAATATTTGGCTATAAATTACTAAATATGTTAAGGGAATAATTAATTTGAAACAAAATGTCCCAAAAAGGGACAATCGGGGGAGTAGCATTTTATTGTTCTTCCACTCTCCTTCCCACCTAGGCGAGTTAGCTCCATCTCCATTCATTCATCAATCAATGAGGCCACATGCAAACAACTTCTTCCATGTCTAAAAAGCTGAATTATTAATAACACTTTGTGTTTTTTTTTCTTTCTTGGAAATTATAGGGTGGAGAGCTTCATCGAGCACCAAGACGCCTGTAGCATGGGCCGCCTCCGGTCCGAGTCGCAATCACACCTACACCAGGCGGCGGTCGCGCCTTGCCTCTCCCGGACCGCCTCCAGCACGAGTCCTACCAGCGACACCAATCTCAGTGTCGCTGCTTCGTGTTGGCCCGGCCTGCTTGTGCCGTCACACAGCAGCAGGCCAGGCACAACTACTACTGTTACTACTGCTGCTGCTACCACCGCGAACGTGGATGCGGCGAGCACTTGCATGGGACTACACCACGATCTCCACCACCACCACCACCACAATCACAACCTCGAGCTCCAGCTCCTGACGACGGGGACCGCGACAGCGGCCTCGTCGAGCAGGGGGGTGGATGTCTCGGTGACGTCAAACGAAGGGGGTCTGGAGGACTCGATGCCGCAACTCCAGCTGTCGATTGGGTCGTCGTCGCCGTCGTCAGATAATGGGGCGCTGAGGGCGGCGATGACCGAGAAGGCGTACGCGGAGGAGGCGAGACGAGAGGCGAGGAGGCAGATAGAGTTGGCGGAGAGGGAGTTTGCGAACGCGAAGAGGATACGCCAGCAGGCGCAAGAGGATCTGGCGAAGGCGGCGGCTCTGAGGGAGCACGCCATGCGCCAGATCACCGCCACCCTCTCCCAAATCACTTGCCGCGCTTGCAAACTCAAGTTTGAACCTCCCAAATTGATGGATGAATGAATGAACAAAATAAATACTTCATCACACTACATAACTCAAATATTATGTTTGTTCTTTTTTTGGTTTGTTTTTTGTTTGTTTATTTGTTTTAGTTTTAATAAACTTATGATAATGACGCCTCACCCCTTAGCTCTTTGTTTCTTTAATCTTTCTTTCGTTTTTCAGCATGAAAAAAATACTCCCTCAGTCCCTAAATAAAGTTCTTCTTTCGTTTTTTCTTTGTCCCTAAATAAACTTCTCTTTTTCCTTAAAAAACCAATTTTACCCCTTACTTTTTCATACTCTACCTATCACATCATACCTTTTTACTAATAATCTACCTATCACATATTACTTTAACACATCACATCAAGGGTATTTTTGGAAAGTCAACACCAAAATATCCCTCCCTTAAATCCTCAAAAAGTCAAAAATGGAACTTTATTTAGGGACGGAGGGAGTATATAGTTACATGTTGAAAGGGCAGTTTCAGTCGAGATTTACTATTCTCCAGTGTTTACTATGAACTGTATCCGAAAATTGAATTAAATCAAACTCAATCATTGTATGGGTGATTTGAGCTTCTTCAATTTTTCTTCATTTTAAAGATTTACACGTTTCAAAAAAATTGTGTTACACAATCTCTTATCAATTTTTATTAAAAAACCACTTTTACCCCTTACTTTTTCAAAACCTACCTATCACATCATACCTTTTTCCTAATAATCTACACATCACATCCTACTTTTACCCATCATATCAAGGATTTTTTGGAAAGTCAACACAAAATTATCCTTCCCTTAATTTCAACTTTAGTTAAAATGGGTAACACTTTATGGGACGGAGGGAATAATTACTCACTCCCCTTCCAATTAAATTTTTTGTTCACTATCCACAAATCAATTGTTTATAGAAAATAACTTTAACCAATTATTGTAAATAAAAACTAAAACTTTTGTATTACTTAAGATTCGTGGAATTTAAATTCTTTCTGTTAGATTGGACAAATATTAATTCTATATAGAATATTGTGTAAATAAATCAAAATTTTATGCGAGTGTGAAATTAAAATGAACAACTAAAAGTGTAAAATGCATCATGGATGGTGACCTCAAAATGCATTATTCTATTTCTTACTTTAAATAAACTCACTCAAACACACTCTATATATATAGTGACGGATCCAGAAAAAAATGATTGGGGGTAAATAGACACTAAAGAGTATGGTGGGGTTCATGGGTGGCACTCCAGATCTTTTAAAACGTTTGATAATGATAAAAAATAAATAAGTCTGATTTCAAACAAGTATTCAAATAAAAAAATTATTTTTAAAGTAGAAAAATAAAATATAAATACTCCGTATATCATAACATAATATAGTTATGATATTTCAAATATTTTACCTGAATATGTTTTTAAGCGATTATTTTTTAATTTTAAACTAAGATTATCTTTTGTCAGTAGGGGCAAACTAATTTTTATCAGGATCGTTCTTTTAATTCTCTACAAAAAAATTATTCTAATACTATATATTACGTAGTAAAAATATTGACTGGGGTGACTGTCCCCGTACTGGTACATGTAGATCTGCCCCTATATATATATATATATATATATATATATATATATATATATATATATATATATATATATATATATATATATATATATATATATATATATACACGCTCCATCTGGGCGCAGCTAGTGTCGAGATTGGGCGCATGGTGGTTAGATGAGTTAGATGTAGTGTTTGGACTATTTGAAGATCTTTGTTAGATGATCCAGCCTTGGTCGGAGCATTGAAGAATGTATTACTCCCTCCCTTTGGAAAAACAATTCCCATTTGGATTTGGGGCAAAAATAAGGAAGTGTTAAATTATACTCCGTAGTTGATTTCCAATTTTACCCCTGATGTGATGGATAGATTATTAGAGAAAAAGTATGATGTGATAGGTAGGGTATGAAAAAGTAAGGGTAAAAATGGTTTTTTAATAGAAAAGGGAAGTGTTTTGTTAGAAATTGAAAAAATGAAAGAGGAAGTGTTTTTGAGAACGGAGGGAGTATTAATTATACAACCCTCGCTGGCCTCTCTCATTATTTAATTTACAATCCATTTTTATAAAGAAAAAAATAATACTCTTTATCTGCACTATTAATTTGATTATTTTCCTTCATCTATGCTTCTTTATTTGGGTTATCTTTTTTCCTCACAATAATTTTGTCACATATCACCTTAAAAGCTTAATTGAATTCTCCGTAACTTCGTCTCAAGAATCAAGATGAAGTCAATTTATTGAATATATGAGTAAAAGATAGACTCTTTGATCAAAATAAGTCAAAATAAGGATGCTTTTCTTCCATAAAGGCAGTATTTTTATTATGAATACGTAGCTCTTCTTATCTCTCTTTCAAATCAATGCTAACCAGGTAATTTTTAATTTTAAATATTTTTCTAAAACTTTGTGTCGGGTCAAAGTAAACTTTAGTTGGAAATGAAATGAATATCTGTCATTTTTGTAGCACATATTTCAGATTTACTTTCAGGTAACACAAGTTTTGCTGAAATAACTTGCAGGTCTCTCTATTATAAAAAAGAGATATCATCAGCTATAATATTATATTCTAAAAATTGAGAGGAGAAATTTATTTATTTTTCTGTAAAAGACCATTTAAAAATGTATTGGACCAATTTCCGCCCTTAATGGTTTTATGTTAATAAAGCTCGATCAGCCTTCAATTCACTTTTTAGTTTCCTTTTTATTTTATTTTTTTTCAAAAAGTTTTTTCAATTTCTTATACACATGCTTTTCAAAGATTCAAAAAAATTTCTTATATGAAAAATAAATGCAAATAAAATGACAACACTAAAGACAAAATGAGAAAAGTATACTACCTCCGTCTCTCGTAGTATTTGTCCAATTTTGACTTTTTCCGGTCAACTATTTTTAATCTTTGGCCCAAAATTAAATAAAATATATATTGTATATTAATTATATAAAATAATATTTTGAAAATATTTGATATAATAAACCTAATAAAATTATTTTTATATTAATATCTAATATCATTTTTATTTAATTTGAAATTAAAGTTTATCAATTTTCACCGAAAAAAGTCAAAAGTGGACAAATACTCAGGGACAGAGGAAGTATTTTTTAACCGCCATTAAAAGAATAGTGGATGGAATGTCCCCTTCCCAGTTTTTGCAACAAAGTCGAAGGTCCCCTCTTATGTCTTTTTGAAAACGCAGGACCTGCGAGATATTTCAACAAACCTGCATCACTCGAAAATAATATTTGCACATATTTATACGTTTTTTTTTACTTTTTCATTCCAATCTTAATTACTCAATAGTCCATACTATAAAATTTTACCTTTTCAATTTTGTATATATCCCACTTTGTAGTTTGTACAAAGAAAATAATGAGATAAAGCTAATAAACTACATGGTGTCTCCTCTTACCCTTTTTCCACTACAAAAAAAACGCGTTATTGGCTCAGTTCCAAATTTATATCTTCTTCTTCGATCTCTTTAAGAAATGAGTATGTGATTGATACTCCCTCCGTTCGTAAAAAGAGTTCATTTTTTGACCAAGTGTAAAAATAAAAAAAATGTTAAGTTGTAGTTGACTTCCAAGTTTGTTCTTGATGTGATGGGTAAAAGTAAGATGTGATGAATATATTATTAGAGAAAAAATATGATGTGATAGATAGGGTATGGAAAAGTAAGGGTAAAATAGTTTTTTAATAGAAAGTGAAAGTATTTTGTTGGAAGTGGAAAAAATGAAAAAGGAAATGTTTTTGAGAAGGGATATACTCCGTAGTATTTTTCTATATATCAATTTGCAAAACTATTTTTTTTGAAACAATTTGCAAAACTGTTAATCATACAATTTTTAAAATTCAATATTACTTGTATAAACTTACCACTCATATTCATAAATACACTCCCTCCGTCCCTAAATGATTTACCCACTTTACTATTCAAAAATTACAGGAATTTTTGTTTATTTATATGTTTTCATTAATTATTTGATGAAATAAAAAATTATTGTCACCTCTTTTTTTGTAGGACTTTTTATACACTTTTTATATATGTATGTTTTAATTTTTATTTCTTTACTAATTTTAAAATAAAAAGAATTGAAAAACATAAAATTTTACTTCATTTTACGTAAAATGTAAACGTAAAATCTTAGGTACGGAGGGAGTAAAATCTTATAGTGGAGAATGCTAATCATAGGGAAAGTAATGCTAATCATAGGGGTAAAGAAGAGGAAAAGAAAGGGAAAAAAAGAGGATAGGGGGGGGGGGAGAAAGAACAGTGCTGTCCTATTGAACTGCTACTATTCTGCACTGCAAGCCTTATAAATGTCAAAAAGAAAAAAGAGAGAGACAGAGGGAGAGAGAGAAGAGTGTGCCATGTTTTTCAGTGCCAAACTTATAATGGTTCATCACTACTTACACACACACACACAGACTCGTCGCTCTCCATACACACACAAAAACAAACTCCTCTTTTTTCCTTTGATTATTTTCCTCTTACCGATCCTCTCTTATCGTTTTATGCAAAAATACCAATCACACATTATTTCGTGCATGACCCATATTATACTCGACCCAAAAAAATTAGTTTCAAATGTTACCTTTGAGGTAAACATATATAATCCAAATTCAACCATTTCGTTTGCAATTTCTTCATTCTTATTTATTCTTTATGTAATTTGATAAGAAGAATTTACCTAAATAAGACTAAAACATAATTACTTTCTCAATATAGGATCATATATTTTTATTTTCTAATGTAAGACCATTGGTCATTATACATTAGTCATTATTTAAACAAATGTCCATCATCACCAAATATTATTCTTCCCTCTAGACATTAATAAGTGTTATTTAAGAAATATTAAAGTTTAATTCGTATATTGGAAAATGACTTATGTTTTAGTCCTATTTTAGTGCAATTTTTTCATTTGATAATAATTGATCTGATTAAATAATGAAGGTCTAATCCATATTCGTAGGAGCAGAACAATGATGCTTATGTAGTCCTACAGGTGCGCATTTAAAAACCTGAACCTTCTCACATTATTCATTGTTTTACATGTGGATATTTTTTATTAAGGTCCAT